TTGCATCACAGGACTAAATTACATTTTAAATTATTATATATATATATATATATATGACAGTTATTTTAGATTGTATTATTTCACAATATTAGTGTTTTTACTGCATTTTTAATCAAATGAGTCCAGCCTTGGTGAGTGTAAGAGACTTCTTTCCAAAATATTTTTAAATTCTTACCGATCCCAAACTTTTAATTGGTTGTATACATTGGGGTGTTTATGTTACATGTCATTAAAATTAAATCAGTTATTTACTTCATTATTGTAGTGTTTTGTGTAAATATATGAGCCATGCAGACATTTATGAACTATAGTTTATGGATAAGACCTTTTTTTTTTGTCCGTCAGGTCATCCTGCAGCCTATTTTACATCTCTTTTATAACATGTTCATCGGTAGATTTTAAAGTTCAAATCAGATTCAAGTAATTTCAGTAGAATAATATATTAACATTATATAAGTTAATGATATATACTGTTATGAACTGTAAAATGTACCACCTCCCACAATGCCTGAAACACCATATTGTTTTACATTACATTTATGACAACCACAGCTGTTAGTTATTTACCATAAATGTATCAATATGGAGAGGCTTGAAACAGATCTTGGATGTTATTTTTCTGACTATGAATTATATAGCTGTCCAGAAAACAGTATTACTCATACTTTCTTGGAAACTTCACATGGAGATTATAAAATAAGAAAAGCATTCAAATTTGCTCAGGCGGTTCAACATGACAATTTTGCAGCTGTGTAGTTCTCATAAAATCTGCTACAGCCATGTAACACCATCATATGTAGCATATGAGGACACAAGCAAGTGGATATTTAATGAAAAACAGTCATTAAACGTATAGTTATATCTGACCAGCTGCTTTATTTGAATAGATTAGGAAGTGGGATTTGTATAATTATATCTGCAAATAAGCTGATTTCAGTATCACTCAGGCTTACTAGGTCCACACTATTCACCAATGGCTGAAATTGTTCAAGAAAGCAAGAGTTTGAGTGATTATTTCTTGCAGTAGCTTTGTACTTCAGATTACACAATACAAAAAAGACGAAAGGTCCAAATAAAATAGGTATCTGCTGAGTGACTGAAACTTTCAACACTTTCAGCCACACCTTGTTTAACTTGGCACCAGCAAACAAATCCGTATGTCTCAAGGGATCTTTAAGCTGGAGAGTTTTTCTCCATTTGCGCTCAAGACTACGAGTTTCTTTCTTGAGAGAATGGGTATTACTGTTGTACCATGGCGCCGTACGTTTTTCTCTAACCTTTTTCAATTTGATGGGGGCAACAGCTTCTAATGTATTAGAGAAGATAGTGCCCATGTTGCTAGTCATTTCGTCTAGTTCATGTGTATTTATGGGTACACAGAGCAGTTGAGATAAATCAGGCAGGTTATTTGTGAATCTATTTTTAGTGGCTGGAATAATAGTTCTGCCCGGACGATAACACGGAGCCATATAGTTAATATCAGTAATACGCAGCATGCACGATTATTAGGTCAGTAAACGCAAGTCCTAATGCATCAAACAGTCTTGGTTCTTCCATTGTATGGGGGGGAAAAAAACCTCTGAGACATTTCTCAAGATATCTTCTTTTACATTCTACAGAAGAAATAAACAGCAAAGGTTTGGAATGACATGAAGGTAAAGTAAATGATGGCAGAATTTTCATTTTTGGTTGAACTATCCCTTTAATTGCAATTGTTAATATGACAAATAATGGAGCCCAGGAGAAATGAAAACTCTCAAATTGGTTATAAGATTTGCAAACTATTGCAAAATATTGCATAGACATGTTGAGATGAGCTCACTTTAAAAGTCATAGCAACACTGTTTAAATGTCATTTTAATGGAAGAGAAGGTTACAATTTCACAATAAAATACTGTTAATTGGCTAACTCTAAGTTACCATACAGTGAAAAAAATGTTAACACTTTACAATACAAGACAAGAGAGAACAGTGTGTGTGTGTGTGTGTGTGTGTGTGTGTGTGTGGAATCAATCAGTCAGTCATATTTTATTTATATAGCCCTTTTCCTACCAGATCAATGCAGTTCAAAGTGCTATACAGGCAAAAAACTAGTGACTGACACTAGGTTTAAAAATAAATTAAATGAGATGCATGCGATGATGCGCAGTATATAACAGTAACACTGAAATGTTACAAAGTATAAAGTGCTGCAAATGATGTTGTTGAATGCTTCTGTTTTAGACTCAGTCATAAAGGACAGTGTTTGTTTTATTTATATGTAGTTAATACTGCTCTGAGTGCAAGAAAACATGCAAAAAAAAAGGGCCTCTAACACTAGCTTGCTCTATTCTTTTTCTATTCTATCTGTTTTCTTTTTATTTATTATATAATAAAAAAAAACTTGCTACGTGTACTGCATTAAGCTAACTGAGACTTGTTATAGCACTTGCATATCATTGCTCTCTTGTTGATTTTGATTGCTTCCATTTTCCTCATTTGTAAGTCGCTTTGGATAAAAGTGTCTGCTAAATGACTAAATGCAAATCTAAATGTACAATTCGTTAACATTATTCAGTGCATTAGGAATCATGAACTAACTATACTTCTTTACAGATTTATTAATCTAGGTTCATGTTATTTTATACTATTGGTCATTGTTAAGCATATTTGTACATAAAAAATAGATGTTCTTTTAATTTAACTTTAATGTAATGTTATTTATCTTGAAATGTTAAAAATGTACCAGTATATACAGAAATTAATGTTAAAAGATTAGTTATGAAAGAAAAGAGGACCTTGGGTTTAAAAGATGGCTGATTGTTTGCTGATTGTGTCACTTAAGAAATAGTTTACCCCAAAAATTTCTGTCGTCATTTAATCACCCTCATGTCATTTCAAACCTGTAGGACCTTCTCAAAATATCTTCTTTTACGTTCCACAGAAGAAGTAAAGTACAGGTTTGGAATGACATGAAGGTGAGTAAATGTAAAGATGACAGAACTTTCATTATGGGTGAACTATCCATTTAATTGTAGTTGTTAAAATGGCAGACACAAGTCAGGTCAGTTCATGGCACTTACTAATAATTGGCTGAATAATGGAGCCCAGGAGGACTGAAAACTCTCAAACTGATTATTGGATTGCGAAGTATTGCAAAATACTGCATGGACATGTTGAGATAAGCTCACTTTAAAAGTCTAGCAACACTGTTCAAATGTCATTTTAATGGCAGAGGTTAAAATTTCACAATAAAATCCTGCTAATCGGCTAACTCTATCTCAAATTTATTATAGGATTGTGAAATATTGCTAAATCAATGTTAGCTTGACATTACCGAGTGCAGAAAGGCAGGCTCTCCAAACTCCAAGGGGATTTTGGTTTTATATAATCCAGGTGTTTTTCCATGACAGTTAAACTATCCCCCCACACAGCCGGAGGGGTTGGGCATAGGGCCTATGCAAATCCGGTTGTGGATCTGCCAAGAGGCTTGCCTACCAACCTTCTAATTATTCTTGACAACACATAAAAACATATACACACACACACACACACACACACACACACACACACTCAACAGCCTCCTTCTCACAATTTCAATCACATAATGGGCCGAACTCTGTTAAATGCCTTTAGCAAACTGTAGAAAAGCATGAGATCTTATGAAGCCTCTTTACAGCTCTTCTAATGCCAGCCTGATTGTTTACAAATGCTCTTTAAGCTATTCTGACGACATTTGAGTTAGTAATTGCTTCCCAAGAGGCATTACATATTATGGCAATAAGTGAAACCACAGACGAGAACTAGACCTGCTCTCTGTTACTTTAGTGTTAACTAGGTTATCTGTAAGCCAGCCCCTCCATGTGCTCTCTGCAATTTCAGTCAACACCTCTCTCGGTTTGGAGATGTGTTTTTAAACAGATCGGCCATTGTTGGCTTGGGGGCCACACAGCAAACTACTTGATCCAAACTACCCGGTCTTAAACAAAAGTCCCTATCATCTGTTTAAGTGGAATTTAAGTGTAACGACTTGTCCTGACATGTAAATCATTTTACAAAGGTATCACATTGCGCTACACCTTAATTGTTTTTGATCTGTTGTGTAAAATGTAATGTATAGCCAGCTTGTCATTGTTATTGTTAAATAAACTGTGGTGAAGACAACTGGCTGCACCTTATCCTGCCAGATGTTACTACATACCTACATACATGGACATAAAATATAGATTTATTCTGAAATTATAAATTTATAATTTATAATATAATAATTATATATTATAATTTGAAATTATATAACATACTGATTAACAGATTGGTTTAAAGCATCCACTGAGTAAAACAGTCCATGTAGAAATTGGCCTAGCAAAGAGACAAACACTGCAGTAATATTATAATTTTCAACAGACTAGTTAACTAAAATATATAGCTACAATGTAACCTTTCTTCCTCTATTTTAAGTCGTCGCTCATCTCTTTTCGTCTCTTACTGGTTTGTTGCTGTTTCAATGTTTTCTTGTCTTCAATGTATTCTTGTAAACTCCTGAGTTTCTTCTATTCAAATGTGCTCACCAAAAAAGGAATACTTACATTTTAAGCTTTGTGGAACCAAGGCCATCTTTTCTAGACAATACTCACTGATATCCCAGTCCCGATTGTATGAGGTTAGACCCTTTATTGAATCCTGAGGGTAGAATACTTTCAATATTTGTCTCTATAAAGGAACAAGAAAAATGTTAATGTTTAATAACAATATGAAGTGTAAGCAGTGTACAAAATTAACCCTTTCCAAGCACGAAATGTAAACATGAATTGCCACATTTCATTCTTAACATCGAACTGTAAGAATGTCTGGCCAATGCTAAGTAACACGAGCAATTCAAAACAAAGCCATGCGAGCCGTCTACTGAAGATAACATTATTTATTATGTGTATTCTACTTGTACTTTTTAAGCAAAAACAAACAAAATTTTGATCTTGACTTAATATCTTAAATCATTTTGCTTCTTAGGTAAATGTATCTTGAGTCAAGAATATTTAGAAAATGTAATTATATGTTGTACTTTTTCTAGTTGATGGTTCCCAACAACACTCTGCCATCATACACACATGCTGGTAAGTAACATACAGTATGAACTTTCTTTTTTCATTGAGTAATGCAAATCCTTTTCATGCTTATTTTCCTCTCTGAAAGGGTCTTCTAGTTTCGTAGAAGTCAACCAGAGTTGCCTTAATGATTCATTAGTGGATGTCAGTGGGCTCTGCACAGGATGGATTGCCCAGACCACTAGCACATCTGCTCTTCAACCTCTGAGTCACTGGACTCCTCCAGACCAACACCACGACCCTGCCATCCCGTCCCACACGGATATGTACGTCCAGCCGATCTGTCCCAGTTACACTGTGGTGGGCCCTTCCCCCATGCTGACGTTACACACACCTTTCTTCACCAACCTTGCGGTGAGCCACAGACTGATGCTAAGCCACTGCTATTATTTCATGTCTGAAGATGTTAACTAGTCCCATATCTGGTTCCCTATTAGACCATGAGCACTTCCAGCTCAGCCCTGCCTCAGGTGGAGGTCCCGGACTCCTCCTTTACGTACATCCCTTGGGCTCAGCCTTTATCCACTATCTCCGGCTCCGTTGTGCAGGCCCCCTCAATGCCAGCGGCCATGTCAGCCCACCAGCTCTTCCCAGTGCCTCTGACCTTGCCAGTACTCTCACCAGAACTGGAGCCTCAGCAGGTGGAGACTCCCCCAGCCCCCGAGGGCACTCTGGCCCTTGAGAAACTGCTGGAAGAAGATGAGGGCCAAAAAGAACCCTACATCTGCAACTCCTCGCTGTTTTCAGAAGATATTTAAGATATTCGCATTAGCACTCTTTTTATGCAGCTTCTTAATATGTAGGATTTGCTAGGGTGATACAGATATTGAGCATTTAGTACAGCATTTTGGCAGCTCTTATGAAAAATGTAATTCAGAAGAAATAACAAATCTGGAAACTACTGTAAAGGGATATATACTCTTAAAAATAAAGGTTCTTTATTTCATCTGGTTCCATGAAGAACCTTTAAGAAACTCCATGGATCCTTTCCATTATACAAAACGTTCTTTAGATTTATAAAATGTTCTTTACAAAATAAATAAATAAATAAATGTATGTTAAATGAAAGGTTCTTTGGGGAACCAAAAATGGTTCTTCTGTGGAATCGCTGCAGCCCTTTTGGAACTTTTATTTTTAAGTTGAGTCAATTCAAGTTGATTTTATTTATATAGCGCTTTACACAATAGAGATTGTTTCAAAGCAGTTTCACAATATTAATCAGGAAACAGAACCAAGAGAATCTATGATGCAAACATCATCAAATATAATCCAAATTATGCTGTAAAGCAGCTCTAACAAAACAATATTGTCTTTATTCAGCTACAGTAATTTCAGTGTTGATTCAGTTCAGTTCGAAAAATGTGTAAAGTTCATCAATTATGAAACAAGTTCAATTCAGAAAAAAAGTTGGAGAAATCCCCTGTGGATGTTATCATTTTATCTACCCGTGTCCTTAACCTGCAGGCTTAGTTGTCTCTCAAGTTAACACCTTTCCTAATGAGATGTTTGAATAAGGGTCTGCTCTGCACACGCTCTACCATCAAATCTGCTTCTTTAGAACTTCTGTACATGACATATCCTGGTCAAACGGGTATGACAATAAAGCGAATGTGCTTTTGCAAGAATTTTAGTGTGTGTGATTTTGTTTGTGATGGTGGGGCTGTGTATGTGTGTGAGAATTTGACTGTTTTTCAATTGCTTCCATGTGGTTTTCATTGTTCATAAACAGTGTTTACCAAACTAAATTGTGTTTACTTTGTGTTGCCAATAATCACAATGCTTCACTAATTCAACACAGAGTCAGCAAAGATGATCAGGATCTAAGCTCAGCAAATCTTTTAAACGAACACTAATCAAACCATGAAACACCATAGAAACAGATGAAAACCAAGGAAACTGACTGAAGATGTAGGAAACTCACTAAAAACTGAGACACAGAACTGTAACATAATACAAACCCTCACTCAAACAGGATACAAACTCAAAAACCCATTACAGCATGCAGCAATAACCTTGTTTAATTGAACCCAAACACGATCCCACTGACAATAACTTAGATATGGCTTACTTATATACACATTTTCCCTCTTTTACCAATTGGAACATTCCATTTACATAAAATTAATTCTTGTCTCAATCTGTGAACAAGAGAGAGAGAAAAAAATCAGTTAATATATAATGATGCACTCTAAAAAAAGATGGTTCTTTAAAGGTTCTTTACATGCAGTAATGGTTTTATTTAGAACCATAGCATTCCGAAGAACCCTTTCATGCTGAAATGGTTCTTTGTGTTAGAGTTTAGGGTTCTTTATTCCCGCCCTTTTGTTTTTCAAATCTGTAACTGTCAAAGTATCTCATTACTGATTTTCTGGAGTTCAGAGATCCAACTACACAGACTGTCAACACACTCTCAACAGGTAAATGATTTCATTCTTAAATTTAAATACAAATTTAACTTTAAAAATGTAACTGGCTTCCAAGCAAACATGTTCTTCTCTCTCTTTTTTTTTTTTTTTTGGTCACATATAAGTGTGTGCAGCTCTGCTAAGCTGTGGAAACTTCTCTTCTCCACTAAGTAGGTAAAAACAACAGTGAATTTTAAATTCATATAGTTCGATTTTTTTAATTATTACTTGGGTTTATGTATAAACATACCCAGTCACAATAAATATCAAAACTATTCACAATAAATATTAAAACTATCCCATGACTTTATATCACTTTTTTCTTTTAAGATTGTGAAGGGCTCACATACTGTCAATTTTTGCTTTTGGCCTTCATAAACAATTGTTTTTACACAACCACATGGACACACTGTAACTCTAAACTCAATTGTGTTTTTCAGATATATCACATCACACAACCTCATCATCTGCAGAGAAAAATCGCTACTTAATCACACCAAAATGATGGACTTAAAGGCAGCATATTGATTGGATTGTGATTGTTTCACTGAAACTTGGTCATCGTCACATCTATTTGTTGTTCTTATTTTGTGTTTTATTTATTTATGAATTTATTCATGTTCAAATTTGTCAATTGTCATTCATTAATGTATTCAGCTAAATGTTGTTAAGAGCACTGATAATTTTGCATGTCAATAAAAACATAATTCACACAACATGCTGCTGTTGTGGTTATTGTTGTTGTTTTAATGTAAAACCTTAACCAAGGCTACACTCTAAGATTCCTCATTACTGATTTTCTGGAGCTCAGCCATCCAACTACACAGACTGTCAGCACACTCTCAACGGGTAAATAATTTCTTTCTTAAAATGTCTATAAATTATAACTTTCAAATGCTAATTGGTTTCCTATGTCTTTTCTCTTTTTAGTTTAAGAGAATATGTAAGTGTGACCAGCTCTATTCAGTTAAGGATACTCTCCTCTTCTTCACTAAGTAAGTAACAAAGATATTGCATTTTTGGTCCATTTTGTTAGATGGTGTTAGTAAGTTTGGTGCATTGTTGTTATTTTATATTACTAGGGTTTATGCATAAACATACCCAGCTATCCCTTGACTTTATATTACTTTTTCCTTTTAACATTGTGAAGTGCTCACATACTACTGTTGGCCTTCATAAACAATTGTTTTCACATAAACAAATGAAAGGCGACACATTGTATATCTAAACTCAATTGTGCATTTCAGATGCTGTCATATCCTGCAACCTCGTCATCTGCAGATTTGAAATCTAGCTTGTCATTTTTGAGCAAATGAGCATTTTTGGGTACACTATTGCTTTAAAGCAGGTCCATTTTACACATGTGTGCAAGCCCTTTATTTTCATTGGCATTCACATTTATGCATTCGGGAGATGCTTTTATTTATCAGTTCATGCATTCCCCGGGAATTGAACCCACAACATTGGTGTTGCTACTACTGCTGGTTATAATTATTGTTTTAATGCTAGCAAGTCATAATTTACACAATCTTGGTCATAGTTCAAATGTTTAAAGCACAAGAAATCTAGCAGCAAGACAGAAGATTTTGCAGTCATGACCCTCAGAGGTGAATGGGTGTTTTCAAACCTTAAAGAGTACTAAGAGCGAGTGAAACCAAGACGCTGAAATCTGCATTCATTTTTTTTTTTTTTTTGAGTGAACATTACCTTTGTGCACAAATTTTTGCACATGACTCCTTAGGACACCGTGCTGCCAAGATGCCTCTGCTTACCTTTAAGGTGCCGCTGAATCTGCCTAACAGGATCCAAGGGCATGTCTGCACAAATGTTAAGAGATGGAAGGAGGTACAGTACAAGGTGTGACTTTTGAGGAGAAGCAGGGAAAGTGTGCGCTGGTGGAGGACAATATTTGGCACTTAGCTGAGCAGGATGAGAAAGCAGGGAAACATGTCAAAGTTAAATACCTGCTTAAATTGCTCCAATTACAACCCATGCAGAAGTGTGCACTGGAGACTAAGCTAGATGTACTGTTTATTGTACGCACTTTCACAACCACCATATAGGGACAAAAACTTGTCATGATCATTGTCATGGGGCATAAAACTGCTTGTTTTTCTTTGTAGATTACTTGATAAATCTTTGGCAAACATTAACAGGAAATGGGATTCTCTTCATGTGCCAATTCATTCATAATTTCCAGACACAATCTTCATAGGTCAGCAGGGATCCCAGTGATACAGAATCATGCCTGATAAAACAGACATTTCCAAACTCCTCCTATCAAATGGCAGTTAGACAGTGCCAAGATCTCACATTCTTACTATTTCCTTGGGAAAACTGCAGAAAACCCAACTTTCTGGTTTTAAAGCCAGATAGAAAAAACTCTTGATGAATTATACAGTCAAAGAGCCGTGAGAAACTTCAAAGATTGCTAGTAGAACTGAAATTTATGAAAAACATGGTAATTTGATCCCCATCCGCATTTTAGGTTTCTAGAGATTTAGGTTTCTTAAAGTCTCTGCACGTATTAAATATATTCATCCATCCATACTGCAAACTGCTTGTCCTATGTAGGGTCATGGGGAATTATATTATTATATTATATTAATATATATTTCCATCAATATCTAACAATTTTTATTTATTAAATAGTGAAAATTCATGTTTGTAACTACTTCAAATCTCTTCACCCTCCTTTGATTATTACAGGTGTTGGACAGATCACATGATATCTTTCAACACTGACCTCGCCATAGACGTTAGGTGCTGCAATTTATTCTCTCTTTAAAAATTCATCATTTAGACTGCTGAATCAAATGGATGGGATCAAATACTACAGCAAACATCACAAACCTACATACGAGAGATATGAAGTGGTAAATAAACACAAACAGGTCTAGACCAAGCCATGTTGGCAAAGAGTCTATGAGAACAATTTAACACCAACTCTTGTTTGTGTATTAAATGTATTAGGAGAAAGCTGAGAGGGGCATGATACGACTTGCCCCCAGTTTCTCTAGGAACAGAGATGACTTTTACTACTACTAGTACTACAAAAAACTGGGTGACAGGCCACATAGATTGATTGGTAATTACAAAAAACCTTACAGCATTTTAGTGTAAAATACATTGAACTGTAAATTCATCCTAGTCCAGTTACTTTACATCACAGAATAGCTTTCCTCTACAGTTTCTGAGAGTTTCTATTGGTCAAATCAAAATGTTTAGTTTATAAAATTTTATTTTTGTCATAGATGCTGATTAACTCAAGTTCTCTTCACTGTTGACATAAATCTGCTTATCTTTTCAATCTTGACCTCTCACTCCTTATGTAATAAGAAAGTAATTTATGGCAGTGTCATTCAGGAATGAC